CTCTAGGATATACATCATGAAGCTAGTCACTAGTGAGCATATGTTGATTAGTATCAGAAGGGATTTTTTTGCGTAGTATAAAGAGTTTCAATGGTTGAGATCATGAGTCAATTGAAGCTAGAACATCATATTATTTTGTTAATCAGAGATACGTTTTCGATAGCTAAGTATACTTTCCTTTAACATTAGTTCACAACAAAATATTTTTTCAATCATTTTGTTTTCATGAGATCTATCATTCTTGCACAATCCACATTAGTGTGTATTCAACACTAGGTAACTATAACTGTAATAAACATGAAAATGTTTTCATCAATAATAAATATACTATTAACTTTTTAATTGTCACTTAGTGGAAATATGTTAACTGAACTAGCTTGTGTATTCATTAATTATCTATATAAAGAACAAGTAATGATTTTTCTTCCCATGTATACATTATCTACCTTAACTGAGGATTAATATCCAATATGGATATAAATGAATTACTTTTAAATTAAATTCACAATTTTCAGTCTAAATTGAGTTATTGTAAGCATAATTCTATTATTATTCATGGGTTGAAATTCAATCACCAACAGTTATCAACAACATCATTCATTCTCAGTTCATTCAATTCTATATTACATCTAAAAAAAGGTATATTTGTATACAAGTATTGTATGTATGTGAATTTTAGAATTTTATTCAATTACATTAATATGTATGATATTATTTTCAATAGTTTAATAATATCTGTGTAGTAAACACTTAAATTTCTTTTCTCATTATGATTAAAATTGATATCATGAATCTGTGAATAGTTGTTAGTGTATTATTTATTCTTAAAACTTTTACTTACTTACGCCTGTTATTCCTCTTGGAGGAGCATAGGCTGCCTACCAGCATTATCTATCCAATTCTTTCCTGGGCAGTCCTTGCCAGTTTATATTCTTACTTACTACTCTTATTATCAAAACTAATTTGTAAACTATGTGTGTCTTAATAAATGAATTCACTTTAATTAAAAATAAAATTAAATACATTTATTTTTTTTAAAATAAAAAAGGGAATATAATGCAACTGAAAATAATTGTGGTGTGTGCTACTTATACTGACATAAGTAGTATATAACGCGAGTCAAGAATATAATGTCTGGCAGCCGAAGATTGAGAAGATCAAGAATGTAAGAACGGAACTAGAAAGCAATTAGTATGAAAATGCAAGAACTATGTAGTCCGAGACAAGTATTGAACATTTTGCAAATAATGTATTATAGTATGGTTTTTCTATTTTACCAAATAACTATGTAATTTTGAGCTAAATACAATTCAGTTATCCACATCTGTATTCTCCTTCATTACATAACCAGTGGTTTATTTTTTCAGCAAAACCAATTATACATGGATGCATAATGTTTCTTTAGTTCATATATAAATAGTAGTATAATATCCTAATAAGTAGAAAAGTTATATTTTCTGACGTTTCGTAACTTAATGTAAGACACTTCTTCAGTAGATAAATAATCAAATCAAAATTAATCCAAGTTTAGTTCAGTATAGTCTTAAACAATATTTATTCCTACATATTAAGAATATTAGTAATGACAACCCTCATGTTTGTTTTTTAATGAGAATATGTCCAGTCTTAACAGTAATAATAATAAATTTTGTACTCTTCCTTTCAATGAGGTAAATTATATAATCAGGAACTATTCACTATCTTCCTAAATAACAGCACTGTCATAAACGTAAACACACACACACACAAAAACATTTAAAATAAGCTGGATAATCAGAAAATTTATTGTTTAAAACATTGAAAAATAAACATAACATAAATTATTAATTTTTTTTAAAGAAAAACGTTATTGAAGGGGAAACAATCTTTTTTTCCTAAAAAAAAGTCTAAAAAAAGAAATAAAGAAAAAATAATATTTTGGACTTGATCTTATTTGTTTTTAAAAAATTTAATTAAAACAAATCTATTTAGAATAATTTAACGATTATTTAAATAATTCATACACGTGTTACCATTGTACATTTAACCATAATTTATCTTTTCTTCTATATACTAAAAAGCAGAAATTTTTAAATGATCAATGTATATTTATTTATATGGATAAAAAGTACTGATTACAAACGAGTTTTTTAGTAACAAGAGCGAAATTTGAAAAAAAAGTGAATGATTTTTATTTTTTTATAATGTATAATACGCAGTGGATGGCCGTTTCGTCCTAGTATGGGACTCCTCAGAGATGAGCATTGACAATCTCGTCTCCCGCGACATTCGAACCCAGGACCTATCAGGTTCCAGAGCGAGCGTACACTTTTAACGGTAGTATAAAATCACTCTAATTTATTTTAAAAAAACTGATCGTTCTTAACTATTACATTCTTACCTGTGTGTTGTTAAGGTAATGTGTTATTATCTAGAATAGTTTGTATCACTTATTGGATCTAGCCAGACGATTGTTGATAAACCGGTAAGTTTTGTACTAAATAGTGTGAAGCAACATCTTCACTAATGATTTAACTCAACGTATTTAGCAATCGTTCTAATGACTGTTAAATTAACATCCAGTGATTCAGATCTCTTACTTTATTCAATTCATGATATCTCACAATCATCTATAACTATCATCAGTTACACTTGTTAAAGTCCAGGTATCTTTAAAATCCACCAGTGAAACATCCACACCTGAATAGTTGCATACTAGGACGAAACAAATTCTAAGTGTTTTTTAGATTTCCACAGCTTGTCTGATTTCTTTCAGTCTGTATTTTAGACTATCTTCAAAGCATGAAATCTCTAATATATTGTTATCTTAGTTAATTTATTTATTTACTAAATAATTACATTTCGTTAACTTCCATCAAAAAACATAAAAATAATTTAATTTATCAAGGTTTCACGATCGATTTGATTAAAACAATTTCGAAGTACCACTACTCTTCATAATTTGATGTTCCGCAATCTTATGCGTAGAATCAATTGTACTAGGTACTCGAAGAATTACTAACTTAGCTTAAATGATCACCGAACTGAAATGCATAGCACACATTTAGTCACGAAAAAAACTTCGTTCAACGAAGTGTTCTATTTTCGGCCAATTTATTCTCAAAACTCTACAGTTGCAACTGTTAGATACTTATTTTTCGAAATGATATTGATTACATTAATAGTGATAATAAAGATTTTCGTTATTATCTGTTAATGTTATTATTATCATTTTTGAAAAATAAGTATTTGTTTCCGATAGTACAGCATTGATAATAAATTCACTGAAAAGGGAACTCTTTTCGCTGAGCCAGTCTTTCTTATTTGATATCTCAATATGTATATACGGTTTACATATTTCTTCGCCGAATAAGGTTATATATATATATATATATATATATATATATATATATATATATGACTTAGAAATATTGCTGGCGTCTGCTGGGGTCACCGGGTAAGTAATAGTGAGGTTAGACGCAGGGTATTAGAGAATGATGGTAAATCAATTGATGAGGTTGTGAATCTTCATCGACTGAGATGGTTGGGCCGCGTGTTACGTATACCTGAATACTGATTACCACGACGTGCAATGCTAACCGGCGTTCGGGATGGTTGGAAGAAAGTTAGGGGTGGCCAAATCAAAACGTGGCATCAGTGCTTGAAGTCACTAACTTCTAGTCTGAGCCATGTTGGTAGATACTACTAAACTACTTGGTTGGGGTCCGCGTGACTATCGTAACCAATGATTGGAGACTCTTGGTGACATGGCTCAGAATCGATCACAATGGCGTCGGTGTATACACTCTCTGTCTTCCCTTAAACTGAGATTAAAATCGCTTCATATCTTTCTTTCTATAAACTAATTCTTTCTTCCTGTACTATATACTTATACACAATCTTTTATATATTACTACCACTGAAGTAGCTCTTATATGAATGCGGTGTTCATCTTGTTGTGCAAATGAGGTATGGCAACTTGGACCGATGCATATATGTGCCTGATCCTATATTGTAGCTGACTGAATGATATATATAAAGCTTTTATAATGAGAAACGTTCACAGACATACAGATGCACACATGTTGACACACGTACATGCAAGTGCAGAAGAAGTCAAGAAAATTAAAAGAAATAAATAAACATAACATAAAGAAGTAGGAAAAAATAGTAGTTGAAGAACAATGAATTACACATTAATTTATGATATTATCATCATTAGAATTTATTTATATTTATACAATATTTCTTGTAGAGTATCTAGTATTCAACTCATAAAACATTTTTTATTATTTCAACCGACGCAAAAACACATGCACAATTATATACGCTCGTATAACTAAGAAAGTGTACATATATATACTTATCACTTATTTCATGTTTCTTTCATGTTTTGATGTACTACTATTGTCATTAGCAATAGTAAAGAAAAATTTAACACTAGTACTTGTTAGATATAGATAAATATATCCAATGAAATAAACAAATTTAGTTGAATAAATAATACTGTACTGACCTTTAGAAAGCAAAATTGAACTTTATAAAAAAAACAACTTTAGAGCATCATTGAAATAATGATAATGATAATGATTATAATCATTAATTTGTATGTTTATCAAATTTGATTGTTTGATCTCTATAACCGACAGAATGCTAAAAAATGAAACTTCAAATTTTAACATTGTAATAATTGGTTAGTATGTGTAATTTATACTACAATAATTAATATATAGGTGAATAGATTAGAACAAAAAACAAAACTCTGGCTGTATATTACATAGTTTTATCGTTTTTCTTATTGCTTCAAGTTAAAGATGAGTATGAGAGAACCTAAACGAAAAGTTAAATGATGGATCATAAATCTACAAATAATTAGTTTCTGCCTGAGAAATTAAACAGCTGAAATGATGCAAAAATCTCAATATTATATTTAACTCGACTGGTTTGCTTTAATTTTCTTAAAATAATATAAAAATAATAATAACAGATGAAAAATGAATTAGTTACTTACTTTTTCTCATTTATTTCTTCATTAAAATAATCAAATGATGATGATGATGATGATGATGATGATGATGATGATGATGATGATGATGATGATGATGATGATGATGATGATGATGATGATGATGATGATGATGATGATGATGATGATGATGATGATGATGATGATGATGATGATGATGATGATGATGATGATGATGATGATGATGATGATGATGATGATGATGATGATGATGATGATGATGATGATGATGATGATGATGATGATGATGATGATGATGATGATGATGATGATGATGATGATGATGATGATGATGATGATGATGATGATGATGATGATGATGATGATGATGATGATGATGATGATGATTAGTAAACATTCATGGTATACAATGTTCATTTGTTGAAATCACTTAAAAATCCATTTTAAATTATAATTTTTTTTCGTAAAGGATTCTAATTGATAAATTACTTGAGTGGCCATATTTGGTTTAATTTTTGTGAAAATTAATCAGTTTATGATGTATTGTAATCTTTATACAAGTTTCCTTGGAAATGAAGTTTTTTTCATTTTCAACTTCATTGACTCTATAGATTATAGTTTCATTTTAAGATTTTTGTAGGAAAACTGCATCTTGTATCTAATGGCTGGTAAGTACATGATTGTTCGCATTATCGTTTCATTAAATTAAATATTCTAAATTTAGAAGTTTCAAGCCTTTTTTTTCACAAGAATAAATAATATCGTGGATTGTTTGAGGTTAGACATTAACACCGTTGGATGCCGACTGGCTCAGTGGTCTAGAGGCTAAGCGTTGGCGTGTGAGATCAAAGGCCCTTGGTTCAAATCTCGCGAGCGGACTCGCGGATGTGCACTTCTGAGGAGTCCCACAACAGGACGAAAGGGCAGTCCAGTGCTTCCAGGTTTTCAATGGTGATCTAACATCAGTCAGTTCATAATCTCAATCAGAAATATCATAGAATGTTTCATATAATAAAATTCCAATGAAGTTAGATACTAGAAGATTATGAATTGACTGTTATTACATAACTTATAAATGTGCCTTAATTTCAAATGTTAGGAAACCAATATGATAAACAATATGTAATTTTTATAAGAGGTAGCAATTAAGATAATTAAAGTGAATACAATTAATCTGTTTGATAAAATTTTGTCGAGCGAAGACAAAAAGCATTGTGAAATATAATGAACTGATTTCTTATTATCTTCTATAATTCGTTTGCATATGCAGTTCCCTTATGTTTTTTTTAAGATGCAGTTTACATGAAGCATCTTTGAAGATGTTTCGTAATAGTAGACTGCCTAATCATTAACACACTCTAAAATAATTAAAATTTGAGTTTTTTAATAATTGAACTCATGAGTCGATCTATGCTAGACTATAATTGAAAACTTGAAAGCACTGGACGACCGTTTCGTCTTAGTAAGACTGTTCAGCAATGCGCATCAACAATCCCACATGCGGGGCTCAACCCCAGGACCCTCGGTCTTGCGTGCGGACGCCTAACCTCTAGACCACTGAGTCGGCATTCAACGGTGTTGATATCTAACTGTAATCGATCTATTCAGTTTTTCAATGATGATCTAGCATAGATCGACTCATGAATTCAAATCTTAAAGCTTATTACAATTTCCACAAACCCCCATTTTAATAAAAAATTCGAAATGTTTACGAAGAATGCAAATGAAAAGGTCGATTGCGTAATCAACACTAACAGGATATAAGCTGATTTATATTAAATAGGCACATGAGTTGATAAAATTGATGGACGTTTACTGAAAGTAGAGTTATAATTTTAATAATGATAATCGTAATTACATTTTAGGAGAATATACAGATTCTTAGGATCAAGTATGTTAAAGATTCATTGACTCGATATTAAGGTGTTAGACACGGTGCAAAAGATGAAGAATATTTGTGATATTTATGAATCAAAAAATAATAAAATATTGGAAGAATTCACAAATTAATTTTGAGATACAGACAAAGAACTTTAATACGGAATCTGGAAAGGATGTATATTGAGCTAAGTTCCTATACCACATTAATGGAGCCAGATGAAACTAACAATGTTAAAGTTGTCGAAATAGTGTGTAAGAAATGATAAAAAGAAAGACTAAATCTTGGGAATATAGTGTGAAATGACAGATGACATTAAGCGACACTGGAACTCAAGGTTGAAATTAAAATAATGAGCTAATTCATCCACGCACTTACTGATGGCTCTATACTGTGTTATACGAAGTCTCCAACTACAGACAGTGATTTTCTCCTGGACCCCATCCATGTACTCTGCATCTTCCAAAACGGCTCAGACTAGTAATCACTGACTTCGTGGATAGATTCTACCTTTCAGTTATCAGAAGAGTTTTTTATGAACCATAAACCCTTTTGTGCACATAAGCTGAGTTTTAAAAGTCAAATTAAGCATGCAAATGAATTATCAACAACGCACAACCTTGGTAGCCGAAACGGTCACTTCATGATTATATTCACTTAATGATCAAGTCTGCTTACAAAAACGTCGACGTAACGTTTACATAGTCTAAATAGTCACATTACTCTATCTTTTGCGCATTGATCCAGCTTCAGCGTCACTTCAGTAACACGTTTAACGATCTCTTTAAGAAATTAAATCGTTGAAAGCAACGAATAGTGTGTACAAAGAAGTCATTTTTATTGACTGCATTAATCTACCATTATGTTCATTTATTATTCCGAACGCTGTATTTGGATCGCTTGAATGGCATAGATCAATATGTAAGCAAAATGACACTAAGCATCATTGGGTTATAAATTATCAAGCTTTTCGTCATATGTCCAAAGACATCCAGGATAGAATCCTCTTCTTTCTTCGGAAATCAGTGCTTCTTCAAGTAGAGGTAAGTGTATACAGTAATGAAAGATCTTAAGCGTGCGATGTGAAATAGATTCTTTTAATCGTACAATGATTGTTATTTGTCCTTTACAAAATAATAAGGAACTAAATATGTAATTCCAAGATATTTCGCTCGACACTCATCGAACGATAGCATTATAGTTTTGCTATTTAAGTTATAAGGACTCAAATGAAAGACTAATACACAGAAAGTATGGTAAAGTTATTCTCATATATGTTAGTATTATTTCTTCGTAAAAAGAAAATAAATTTTGCACTTACTTTTGTTTGACATTTATGGTGGGTTTCAAAGAAAGACGAAATTTCATTTTAATTCACCTTTTTTGCGTAGTGACCAACCAGTATAGTTCAGTTTTTGATTAAACTTTGTTTTAAAATGTTAAGTATTTCTTTATTTGATTTTAACTGTAATTATTTTATTTTCGTTAATATTCAAGATGCAACAGAATACATCAAGTTTCTTCTATACTGATCAGTTGTTTAATAAAAGAAATGTTATTAGTGCACATTGAATACGTCTAAGATGGCTATCAACACCTGTTGTTGCCATAGAAATCATATTAGTTCAATAAGTAATTTACTTTCCTTACTATTATTCACAAGAATAACAATCTACCAAGTAGCATGAAAACAATATAATTAATATTTGGTTGAGCATAAATATTTAATCATTATTACCATAGACATTATTATTGTTAGTACTATAAACTAACTGAATATCATAACTTTGATGTGCATATGATATGCCGCCATCTCTCTGTCTCTATCTCACACGCACTTTAGGCATAAGTAAACCTCACTATACTGTTAATTCAAAGTTTTATTATTAATATTATTTAAAACGATAACAATTATTATTACTATTATCATCATCATAATTGGTATTAGTAGTTACAGTTGTAGTATTAAGAATAACTACTAACAAATGTAATTTGTATTAAATAGGCTAAGTAAACATAATTATTTAGTCTGAAAATTATTCATGCAATCAAACACACACTCAAATATATATATATATATATATATATATATATATATATATATATGTACACGCAATATAATAAAATGTCTCAGTAGGTAACGCCACTAAATACATTTGTAATTGCAAAATATAGACCTAAAAAGAAAAAGACAAACAAAAGTATAAATAAATAGTAGTAACATGATAAGTAGTATGTTAAACATACTTACATGAATAATAATAGTACTACTATTATTATTAGCTGCAATGATAATGAAAGCATATGTTAGCCGACCACATCAAAAGACTATTAAACAAATTAAATTTATGTGTGTTAATAAGTACTGGATACAACTACAATTATTATTACCCAATGAATAAAATACTTATCTTTTAAATGGTAATTTTAGGATAGAGACAAGAGAACATAAAACTGACTTGATGAATACTACTTATTTAATTAAATTGTACATGATCTACATAGTAGGTAAGTCTACACTTAGTTCAATGAGGAAATGACTTCACGAGAATGATATTACAATGCTTTCATAAAATATGAAAATCATACATTAAATACATTATTTTCATATCGTCCATTAGTTGTCCTTTACTTACTTCATGATTCTTCTAATTCAGTCATTATTCCAATCGCTCCCTTCTTTCTTGCCTTCTTTAATTCAATCTTCTGCTGACAGGCATTCTACCTCTGAATAGTGCTACATAATACTTATATCTGTCAACATAATTAGAATACACCACAGTATTTATAATACAATTATTAATTTAAAAACTAGTTTTTTAGGTAATTTCTATCATCTCGTCTAATTAAAACTTGATTTGTAAGCAGCTAAAAAGTAGATCTTATCAACTAAGCATTTAAAGTTATTTAGATAGCCACTGTTTGTTTATGTTTTATATTTTTTATAAATGTTTTCTTTATTTCTGGAAGTCAGAAACCTGGTGATCTATTCCATGCAAGGTTTAAGTTTCGAAAAGTAAGCAAATCTTTCAGTTGATCTAACTATAATTGAAAAACTCAGCGGTTATTAGTAATTACATAATGTTTTGAAATGCGTTTTAAACTAAGCAGATCAATACAAATGCTTTTACTATCGGATACAGACAAATTCAATGTTTGTTACTAGTCATGCATTACAGGGATTACATTTTGATTCTTTCATACATTTTGATCTGAAATCAAGGTAGTTGAATGAATTAAGCACTCGATATAGACATTTGGCTCTAGAAGCTATTTCCATCCAGTAAATATTTACGAAATTTATTTCAAAACTAGTTATCAATAATCACAACACTATGATTACTTATTTGAGCTTCCTACAAAAATCTGTACATTTTGAACAAAGTTTGCGTCGTAAACTAGTATTTCCTGTTAAAACCCTTGAAAATTAGTAAGCGCTAAGTAAGGCAGCCAAACCAAAACGTGGCATCAGTCCTTGAAGTCACTAACTTCTAGTCTGAGCCATAATGGTAGATACT